AGATAACCTAAATAGTGAGGCTAATTCTAAAGAATGTTGTTAATTTTCAGTTCAGTGGTCATCAGTCTGGTAGTCATCATATCTGCTTTCTTGTTATCCTTGCAAACAGTGCTTTAGGCCCAGTCCAAAGGCATTTGCCCTTTTAACATCCCAAAGGTTTGAGGCATAAGACGAGCAAGGTAGCTCCTCTGGGATGACAGCTCCAGCTCCATTTGTTCTTTTTTTTTTTTTAGGATGAAAGCCGAAGGATTTATTTTGTTAAAAATTTTATTGATTTCACAGAGGAAGGAAGAGGGAGAGATAGAAACATCAATGATGAGAGAGAATCATTGATTGGCTGCCTCCTATGCACCCCCCACTAGGGATTGAGCCCACAACCTGGTTATGTGCCCTGACCAGGAATTGAACTGTGACGTCCTGGTCCATAGGTCACTGCTCAACCTAAAGCCACTCCAACGGGGAACGTGCCTCCCGTACACCACCAAGTTTGGGGACTAGTGTCCGAACTATTGCCATCAGTGCACTATTGGCTAATAGTGGCCATGGGCACCTTTGCTGCTAACACCGCCCCCTCCTCTCCTTCCGTAGTGGCTCAGCAGGAGAAGACCCTGCCGCCCAGGCCCAGCCTCCTGGAGGCAGGCGGCAATAGCTGTGAGGAGCCCAAGCTGCAGATGACTTGGGAGCAGGAGTTCCTGGTGGGGAACAGCCCGGAAGGCAGCGGGCGGGCGCTGTGCATGGTGTGTGGGGCCGAGATCCGGTTCCCCTCGGCGGACACGGCGCGCGCGCACATCCTGGAGCAGCACCCGCACACCCTGGACCTGAGCCCTTCGGAGAAGAGCAACATCCTGGAGGCCTGGAGCGAGGGGGTGGCCCTGTTGCAAGATGTCAGAACTGAGCAGCCATCCCCACCCAGCTCAGGTAGTTGGGCCTGGGGTGGGGGGGGAGCAAAGCAGACCTGTGGGAACGCGTGTGGCGCTCACGGGGCATTTGCCCCCTTCAGACTCGGCCCAGGACGTCAGTGCAGACCCTGACTCCGCCCCGGACCCTGCCAGAATGCCAGCAGAGATTGTCGTTCTTCTGGACTCTGAGGACAACACAGTCCTCCCGAGAAGGACCCGGCCCAGGGGACTCCGCCCCCTGGAGCTTCCAGGTCAGTCATGGGGAGCCGGTGAGGCTGAGCTGGGGGAGAGCGAGGCACAGGCCTGTGTTCTACGGGCGGAGAGCTTCAGCAGCGGGGTTCAGGTTGAGGTTGCGGGGTTCAGGCATACTCCCTTTTTTGCAGTTGCCCCTGCCATAGAGCCAGTAAATAAGAAGCCCCGTAGTCAGAGATGGAAGGAGACCCCTGAGGAAGAGCCGGTCAGAAAGAAGAAAGGCAGATCCATGACCAAAAACCTGGACCCGGACCCGGACTCTGACTCAGGTGAAGGGGGAGCCAGGTGGAGGCACATAGGGGCTCTGGCTGCGGCGCTCCAAACCGAGCCAGTGATGGTGGCAGGGCCCAGGCGGGGGGCACCTGCACGTAGCCTCTGGTGCTCAGGCCTCCAGGTTCTGGCCTCAGTGGGGGAAGGCCGCCCCTCTCCTGGACTCACAGTCCCACCCTCCTCCCTTGCAGACCCCTCGTCGCCTGACTCGCCCATGGAGGCCTTCACAGCGCCCCCCGAGGTCCGACACTTCACGGATGGCAGCTTCCCTCCCGGCTTCGTCCTGCAGCTCTTTTCCCACCCCCACCTAAGGGCCGTGGATGGCAAGGGCGCACCCAGGGAGGGGCACGCGGCCGAAGGAGGCCTCCCCCCGCTGGAGAGCCCCTCTCCAGGTGAGCTCCCGAGGGAGACCAGGGGCGGGCAGGCTGCATGGGCTCTGCCTCCTGGAGGCTGCTCCTTGATGTTGGGCGCTTGGGTCCCTGGGAGGTGGGGGCTGGGGCAGGCGGATTGAAGGACGGGGCTGGCTCTGGGCCGAGCTTTCCCCACAGGCCTTGGTGTGTCCTGGAATGGGGCGTTAGCTGGGACTAGGCCAGTCCTGCCCCAAGGTGACTCCCAGAGTTGACTGCAGCTGGAGCCTGAGAGGTACCCCCTGGCCTGTTAACAGGAGACTCGACCAGTGGTGAGCGCTGAGCAGACACCTCTGGTGAGCGAGCTGCCGAATGACAGCCGTGAGCGCGTGTTTTTGTAGCACATCCTACTGATCTTGAGAAACTTCTGTATGCAGTTCACTTGGTCCCTACAAAAGTGCCTTTTCTAGAGGAGATTCTCAGAGATGGTTCCTCCTTCCCCGATGCCTGTGTTAGTTTCCTATGGCTGCTGTAACAAGTTACCACAAACTTAGTGGCTTACAGCAACACAATGTGTTACTTTTCTGTTCTGGAGGTCAGAGGTCTCGCTGGGCCAAAAAGTCCTGGTGTTGGTGTCGGCAGGACCGCGTTCCTTCTGGAGGCTCAGGGGGAGCCTGCATCTTGCCTTTTCAGGGTTCTAGAGGCCGCCCGCATTCCCTGCTTCGCCTCCTCTTCCATCTTCCTGGCCCGCGGTGGCCAGCAGACCCTTTCTTGGAACGCCATCTTTGGCCTGACTCTTCTGCCACCTCCTTCCCCACTTAAGGACCCTTGTGACTCCACCGAGTCCACCAGATCATCCAGATGAATCTCTAGTTTAAAATCAGCTGACTGGCACCATCAGTTCCAGCCATGTTGAGCCTAAGTCTGCAGCCTTACTTCTCCTCTGCCGTGGAACTTATCTTCACAGGCCCTGGGGACCTGTGTTCTGCCTATACACAGTCATGGTGTTCTGCCTATACCAGTCATGGTGTTCTGCCTATACCACAGTCATGGTGTTCTGCCTATACCAGTGGTCGGCAAACTGCGGCTTGCGAGCCACATGCGGCGAGCCGCAGTTTGCCGACCACTGGCCTATACCATAGTCATGGCACCAGCGGAGGCAGGGCTCCGATGAGAGCAGAGCACAGTGCAGTGGCGGGGGCTGAGCCTGCTTCCTCTTGGCTTCGCCAGGCCAGGCGCGGCCCGCAGCGTCTCGGGCTCAGGAATGGTCCTGAAGGAGCGAGTGAGTGAGTGAGTGCGCAGGGAGGGCCTGGCCCAGCCTGTCTGAACGTGCGTTTGGAGTTAGCGCCCGAGGAAGATGGCACTCCAGAGGAGAAGCACGCGTGCCCCTTCTCCAGCCACATCACTCGCCGCGGTGACCATTCGTAAGCGTTGGCTCTGCGTGTGCAGCAGGCCGTGTGCGTGCTTCCTCCCCATCTCACGGCGGGCGTCCCTTCACGTTAATCCGGTTTTAACTGGCTCAAGTTTCAGCTTGAGTCACATTCCGGTCCTGTCTCCCCGAGACTGCTTGGACTGGAACGTTTCTGAGTCTCCTGTTGTCTTGGGTCACGGCTCTCAGTGGCTGCCTCTTCCTGGCTTCAGTGGGTCTGCTTTCATTCTCCAAACAGCCTTCATTCTGAGCCCTGGGTTCCCTGTGCCCAGCTCCACCTCCCTGGAGTAGGGCGTCCCTGAGCCCTGGTCCCCCTGGGTGAGTGGGGAAGACTTGAGGCTCAGCACACGGAGTGAGTGACGTGAGGGGTGCAGGGGCTGCAGGCACTCCCCGCAGTGGCAGGATCTGTGGAGTTGGGACGCGGCCGGAAGCCACAGAAGACACTAAACAGCGCCACAGCCAGTGTCCTGCCGCCCAGTGCCAAGCGAAGCCCCGCGGGAAAGGACATGCGGGAGGCGGCCTTGTCCCCCAGAAGCTGTGGTCGGAGGGACAGGTTGGAGGCAGTGAAGGCTCCACCCCGTGCTGGTCCTGTGCAGAGTGAAGGTTCCGCCAGCGCTGCAGGCTCTTCCAGGACCTCCGAGCGTGGCTGGATTGCTCGGAAACTGAGGCTTCAACCGAACGTCTCTGCTCTGAGTTGTTTTACGTATTAAAGTTTGCTGAAGATTTTATTTTAATAAAGACACAACCACTTTTTAAAGTTTACAGATCAAGGTTTTAGAAGTTGCGAAAGTTCTCTGGTCAGGTCAGCTAAGCGGATGGATGCGAGTGTGAAGCAGTCAGGAGAGACTCTGGGGCTCTCCAAGGGCCTCGTAGGATGAAGGTGGGAGGGGGCCCAGGCCGAAGAGGGCCCTGAGGGCACCGGCTCCCGTTTTACTGAAGAGGCCGCCAGCCTTGGGAGGTCAGGCCCCTCGCCCAGCCCCTCGCCTGGGAAGCGGCAGCCTCTGTGCATGTCACCGAGCCCACCACAGGGTTCCCTCCCCTCCCCCCCTCAGGCCGCATCCTCTGCCTTTGCTCCCTCCCTGTGACTGTCACTCCTGCAAAGGCCAGCCCTGCAGACCCATTGCCAAGGCCATCTCTCCCCACAGACATGTCTCTGTTATCCATCAGTTTTCTTCTGGGTTTTGGCCAGCAGCCTACACAAAGCTATTATTTCTCCCTTCTTACCCCGCCTCCCTCCCTAGCCACTGTCCCATTTGTCTGTAAACTTTCATCCGCTTCCTGGAATTAAGCTCCTCAGGTCAGGATGCTGGCCTGTTTCACTTACTGTGGCATCCCCGGTGCCCGGCACAGAGTAGGTGCTGCTTACTGGGTATTTGGTGAGAGAATGAATAAATGCCCCAACCGTGGGTCAGGGTGTATACTCACTCCCTGGGTGACCCCGCCCAGAATCGCAGCTTTAAATACCACTCTTGTGCTCACAACTCCAGGCCTCTCCTCTCCCCTCTGTCCCCACCTCTCTTGGAATTCCCCATGTGACATCTCTACTTGGGCTACACGTTCTCTCAAGCTTGGCACGTCGGAGCGGAACCCAATCTCTTCCCCTCGCCCCAGTCAATTTGGTCTTCCTCAGTCTTTTCTCTTGAGGAAACTGGCCACCTCATTCTTCCGTTTGCTTGGGTCAAACCCTCAGTCATCCTCTTGTCTCTCAAACCCGCATCAAACCATTGACAAATCTGTTAGCTCCACCTCCAGGTGTGTTCAGAATTCACCTTCCTGTCACCACCTCCACGGCAGCTCCCCTGTCCAAGCTGTCCCTTGCCTGGCTCCTGGGACAGCCTTCCAGCTAGCCTCTGGCTGCTTACCTTTGCCCGCTGTGGCCTGGCCTCAGAGCAGCCATGTCCCTGTCAGACACCACGTCTTGCCCTGTCCCTCTCCAGATAAAGCGTGAGTCCTCGTGGTGATGTGATCCTCACCCGGGATCTTCCTGTCCCTGCACCCTCACTGCAGGCACGGGCCTTGTCTTCCCCCCACCCGGGTGCTGCTACCCCAGCTCTCTGCCGAGCTGACCCCTCGCTTCCTGTCCATCTTTGCTCACGGGTCAGCGTCCTGAGATCCTCCCTATCCCCTTCCCCGGCGGGGGTTTTCCTTTGCGTCTGTCTGCATATATCCTATTGCATCTCTTGTTTATTCTCATTGATTGGCTCTCATCACTGGGATGTAAATTCCAAGAAAGCCACTTGCTCTGCTCCACGCCTGCCGTTCCCCTAGCACCTGGAACGGTGGGGCAGAGCAGAGCATGGTACCCAGTAAGTCATTGTTGATAAAGGAGCGAGTGAGTGGGATTCGGCCAGTCCTCAAGGAGCTTCTAGTTTATCAGGAGACGGACCAGCTTCTGAGCACAAGCAGAATTTGCTCACTGGGCTTCCTCACACCGGGCACTGGGCTCTGGAAACAGGGTGTGTGTGCGGAGACCTTCAGGGACATCCTCAGAGTGGGGTGTCTGGAGGGCCCTGACCCTGCTCTCTGCTCCCATTCCTGCCCAGGTCCCCCTTCGGGCCTTCGCGGGACGCTGGATCTCCAGGTGATCCGGGTGGATGGAGGCGTCCCCGGCAGTCAGCCTCCTGCAAGATTGGTCCAAGCATCCCCAGGGCACCAAGGGTGTGGGAGCAGGTGACACCCCAGACCGCCGCGGTTTTGTTGGAATCAGCACCACTGGGCGCGGCGAGAGGCAGGGAGTGGTGTATAGGTTCCTGCTTTCCCGGGGACAGGACGGGGTGGAGGCCGTGTCCCCTTTCGGCTTCTCGGCTTCCGCTCCGCACCTGATGAAGAGTGCCAAGGCAGGACGGAGGCGGGGAGGGGCGGCATCCACTGTTGGTCGAGGGGGGCCGTGGCTGAGGCTGGTAGTGGTAGGGCACTGGGCCTGTGGAGAACCCCACCCGATCCTTTCGCTGACCCAGACCTCTGTCCCCGCCGCCGCCCACCCTCTCGCCGCTCACCGTTCTCCCTTGGCGCAGTGCCTTACACCAGGAGGAGGGGGCCACCGCGGGGTTTGAGCTGAGTCCCACTACCTCGGAGGACGCCCCTCCTCCCCCTGTTCAGGCCCCTGAGCCAGGAGGCCTCCATTACCTCTTCCCGCTCCGCCCCTGCAGGAGGCCCAGCACCCCCCCTGGGGCTTCATTCACTCCCACGCCTTTTCTCCTGTTTTCCGGTTGTATATACATCTCCTTGTTGACAATAAATTATTTTTTTTTATTAAGAGAGTTCCGTCTGGGCCATCATTGGGGGGAGGGGCTAGCTAGGAGGATAGCTGGCTTCCTGGGGTGACCTTGAGGGGCAGGAGCGCTGAAAGGTTGTCCTGGCAGGAGGTGGAAGGCCCCACCCCAGAGGTAGGGACAGGACCAGGGCAGGGCTTTGTTGGTCCAGAGGCCTGGGGCTGCCTTGGCGTCAGTCAGAGAAGCCCCTCTCTTCCCCTCCCCTGCCCTGAAATGTGCTTGCTGACCCCCAGGCCACTGTCCAGGCACGGCCCAGGGGTCCTCACCCTAGGAGGTGAGGCTTAACCCGACCTTTTTAAAGGGAAGTGGTGGTGGCCAGCCCCAAGCCAGCCTGCAGCGGGAGAGAGGAGTCCCCTCCCCGGCCCACGATGGGAAGGTGGGCACGCGGGTCCTAAACGCAGCCCTGCCTCCAGCATTTCAGCTCTGTGCTCAGCTGAACACTTAAGTTTAATTGAACCCAAGCCTTTGTCCTGTTTCCCGTTCCCCAGACCAGGAGGTGGCCCACCTTGGGTCTTCACCAGATTCCTTCCCCTCCGAAACTACCATCACAGGCCAGTGACGGTGAGGACTGGTTTTTCCCGTTGGTATGGCGCTCTGAAGAAGGGCCCGGGAGCTTCCCCCAGACCCCACAGCACTGCCCCGTTTGGAGTCCAGGGGCAGGTGGGATAAGGAGGGGAGTCCCCATCTGCTCCTGATAAATGCTGAGTGTTCAGGGAGAGGGCGCAGCTAGGGCCCAGGGCAGCGGCTCCCGTATGGCACTGACTCAGCCAGGTTTGAGACCATCCAGAAAGCCAATTCCTAAATCAGGGAGGATCTGGTTTAGAAGGATCTGGGCCTGAGGTCGCTGTTACCTGAGCTGGTGTCACTCTTGATCCAGACCAGATGTGAGGAATCTCACTGTGATGGACTCACGGGACGTGGTCCTTTCTCCCCACCTGGCTCACTTGGAGCCCAAGGATGTATGGGGCCCTGGTCCAGGGGAGGTTAGAAGACTAGTGTGCGTGGTGGAGAGACGTCAGCGGGCAGAGATTCCGGACCCACTGTGTGGTGTCAGGCGGGCCATGAGGTTTCCGTGTCTGCCACCATGTGTGCAGGTTGGCAGAACTCGTATCCTCCCTAGCAGGAAGGGATGAATGATGCTGAAAACGGGGCTCTGAAACAGGAATGTGAGTTACTGCCGGTGATCCCTCTTCATCCTTTCAATCATGGACTGTTTACATTTATGCCGACGTGCTTTTCAACAGCGTGGCTGTGTTGCTGGACGTTCACAATTGAGAAAACGTATATACATGCTCGTTGTAAAATCATGAAGCTCAATGCACCTTCACCGCTATTAACATGATTCATGGTTGGACCCATTAGACTGTGAGCTCCTTTCGGGCAGGGACTAGTTTGCAGTGACTTCGTTTTCCTAGAGCCCTGCATAGGGCCTGGCGCATAGTAGGTGCTCAATAAATGTTTGTCAAGTGCCCTCTTGGCTTGTGTTTGTATGTGACATTTCTTCCACGTAAGCTGGTCCCTGGAGTGCAGTTCTCTGCATAGGGCGGCTGCCACGGTGACGGCAGCCCCACCTCCCAACTGGCATATGAGCACGTGTGGCTGGGAGCTGCCACTGGGCGCCTCTGGGCTTCCGGGGAGAAAGAGGTAGAGAGCGTGGGGCATAGGGCATGACTCCCCTGGAATACAGAGGGAAGTTTCTGAACATAGGTGACTGATGGCCCGGTCCCCCACCGGGACTGGAGCCTCCATCCCGGAACACCACCAAAACCTCACAAATACCTCCCAGGGGTGGGTTGAAGGGGCGGGGAGGAGGGTGCCTCTCCCTGGCTCCTGACACCCATGCTCCTAGTCCCTGCTCCTCCCTTCCGCTCTGAAGCTGACCACCTGCAGCCCCTCCCGGTGCCCTCCTAGGTCAGGAAGATCTTTCTGGATGCCAGTGATAGCCTGTGGCAAAGCCGGCCTGAGACAAGGGAAGCAGCAGCACCCCTCCTTGAAGAGAAGCTAGTGTGTGAGGGTATGGTTGGGGAGGGGGACCGGCTGGGCCCTTGCAGCACCCCTTTTGCATCACCGGTCTGGCCCATCACTGAGCTACTGTGTAGCTCAAATGAGATGGCATTCTGGGCCCTCTGTAAACTGCAAAGCCCTAC